ATTTGCCTCAACTCCTGCCCTCTTAGCAGCTTGAAAGCCTGCAAATGCGAGTAGATAAATAAGTATCACTGGTGGGAAGATAACAGCATTCTGTGCACATAAGCATATAGTCATGCTGGCCACCTGATTGTGGAAATGTCTTCAGACAATGCTGGCTCTCTCAGCTAAAACCTGAAATGAGCACCAGCCCCTAGAGAGAGAGACACAACTAGAGTAGGTAAAATAAAGAAACCTTTATCCTACTTAGGGGGAAATTAGGATGTTATGCTACGTGACATTGTTTCCTTTTGTTTAAAATTTGTGTTTTCACCTCTGGTAGGGTATGACTCCCCTTCCACATCTTCCTCAGTTTCCCACACACTGGTTTCAGAATTGTCCCACAAAGATTACTCCTGTTCTTCAGGTTACACCCTGCTGCACTTCTGAGAATCTTAGCCCAACCTACCTTTGAACCAATAACAACTCTTACATAGCCAATACTGTATAGATCCATCTTATGTCTGCCAGACTTTACACCTCTGTCTCCTTGCCCTTCTTTCCAATGTTCCTTTTGTTTTTAAGGCTCCACCCTTCTTTTCCCTCTGCTATCCTAGCAGAAACACACACAAGTGCGCGCGCGCACACACACACACACTACTGACTACAAAGAACAACAGTTGCATGTGGATGCATATGTGACAAGATGTTATAGAACCACGGGCAATTGCAGACTGCCGTGATTCAACTTGATCAAGACAAACTTCACAGGCAACTTAATAGGGATTAAAAGAGATCTAAAGACTCTGTTATTAAATCTGTATAGTTTGAGATCAAACTGATTAACAATGAATTTAGCATGATGCAGTTCAGTAATATTTTTCCAGTATACAGAATATTCCTACCCAGATGTGGGGCAGATGTCCTTTTCAAGTAACATTGTTTATTACTTCAAATGTGGTGAATTAATCAACCCTATTCCACTGAAGAACCCATGTCTCCATTCCTCTGACGGGAAATGGTACAGTTGTAACAAAAAGAGACCTCCATCTACAACATTTTTGTTACGTTCCACTGAGTGTCCTTTGGAGAAACAATTTTAAATTCCCAGGTCCCTTTTAACCATTGTTTCTATGCTTAATGTCTATAGTAACAAAAAATGTTTTCATTTCTTGATGCCTTGTTCAATCTTCTGTTATAAAACTAAAGGTATTAAGAAGTATCAGCTGGAGGGAAGATAAACTCCTGGTTTTCCTTTAACCTAAGTATCAGTTAAAATGAGGATCTGCCTAACTTATAGTAGAATTGATTCTTAGCTGGGCAGTTATTTTGAAGAGCCACAAGCAAGCCACCTTTGATCTTCAAGTAAATGATATGGATAGTGGAAGGATAATAGGGTGTGAAAATAGGTCTTGCTAACAATTCATGCAAATACCTGCACAAACCTTTTTATTTTTATTTTGCAATGGAAATCACCTGGAATGTTTGATTCTGGAGTGGAGCTTTTTGGTTGAAGGCTAGTTCTGAAAAAGGAGGAGGAATCACTGTACGTGGAACTGCTGTGAGTTAGTGCACAGTAAACTGTTGATTTTAATGTGGTGAAAGAATGCCACCCACACATTGAAGTTTGCGGTAATTAGGCCATCTGCCCAGGACCAAGCCTGAATTAAACCTGTGACATTTTAAGGCTAATGTCCCAAATGATAGTAGTACAGAGAGTTAGTCACCAGTCAAGACTAAGCAATTTTGCCCATTGTGCTATATATGAAGAACACATTTTGTTGGTATATCTCAAAAATGGTATTGGAAACAGGGCTACAAACTTTTAAATATCCAAATAATCACTAATGCATTATTCCAGTCATGTTTTGATAATAAAAATATGCCAAGCCATATTCGGTGGAGGGTGGGAGGGGAACCTACCTATGATATCCACCTGTGTTTCTCCTGAATGTGATGTGGCAGGTCACATATTTAGGTTTAGAAAAGTATTTGGTAAAGCTTGCACACAATGCCTTCCAATGTCAAAATAACGGTGCTGCTGGCAAATCACCATTGTTTACTCTACTAAAACTGATCTACTTTAAACCTTTGTTTTAAATCTGGTGTAGAAGTGAACTATGATCATTACAAGTTATATTACCAAGTTACTGGGTGCCTTGGGTGAATTAAGTTCGTCTGAAATATTCTCAAGTATTATGTCTATAAGCCTAAACGTTTGTTTTCAGCTCATTAGAAAAATAACATTTAAAAATTTACATATGCAAATTTAATATCCAGTGCATTTGAATAATGAATAAGATATGCTTCTAGGAGACCCAGATCTTTCATTCATTCACTACAGTCATTATTTTTCAAAAGTAACCTTTTTATTCACCAATCCATCAAGTGGCACAATTTAACTATCTCTTTAGACATTTCACTTAGCAAGATCCTTAACAATTTGCCATGTTACTCTGAAATGTTTGTGATGTGTGAAGAAAATATAGCACCTTTTCCCTTTTGATTTCATTTCTTTGAAAGACAGAGATTAGAGAGCTTGTTGCCATCACTTCCAACTATAAATAAAGCCTAGGGATGTGTCAGCATCTCTATAAATCTATTGCATTGATTTTTTTTCCCTTACAGAAATAGATCAGCACATGAAGAGCAAGTTACTAGAAACAAGTTATTAGTCTTAAAACTGAGTATTGCTCCAACACAGCTTTCCTCAGTCTGAATGCCCTCCAGATCAGTCACAAATTCCAGAATTCTTCTGCCAGCAAATTGACTGTGGATTATTAGATTAATTATTATTAGATTAACCAACCCAAACATGATGGGTTTTTCTGCTGTACTATTGAATTGATTTGGCTTTTTGCAAATTACTTTTGTAATCCAAACAACATGTCTGAGAATAAATTCTATTTAAAAGGCTCTTTTTAAAGAAGAATGTCTTGAATAATATTTTCCTACTTAACTTAAAAGAGAGAAGTCCTGAATGGTAGCCTCTAATATCTTTTACAATTAGCCATTTTGCTAGAGCGATAGAAATTTGAGTACAACGAAGGGGCAACAGGTTTCCTGTGCTTTAGAAAATATATGACTATATTCAAAGAATAGGAGTACCTACATGAATTTATAAGAATTCGAGGCATATTAGTATGAATTATTGTTTCCAACTGATACAGGTTACTTAATGCTCCAAATGATTGCGGAAATCTTTTCAAATCTTGATTATTTGTCCTTGTTTTGTTTCATGCAAACTATCTCTGTTTTTCCAAAGCTAAAGCAAGGATTTTAAAGCTGGGTTCCCTGACCGCTAGAAACTCGTTAAAGTTCTATGACAGCAAGGAAAAAATGTCAAATGACTTTAATGCATGAATAAACTAATTATTAAATATGCGTGCTTTGGCTCATTGCCAGTTTTCTATCTAAAACTTTGCCCCTTGATCAAGGAGATCCTTTTTTTTTTTTTTAACTAACATATTTTATGGCCTGGAAAAAGCGTTGTGGTAGAATCTTAAATTTCAAGAATCTCTAGCATACTAAATCCTAAATTCTCATTGAGTCTGTGGAATGGTAGTTGTACTTATTGGGAATTTGCAAATTTGGGGATGCTAGTGGTGGTGCAGAAATCAAGCAAAAGATGGACAATATGGGCTTCCGGTTACCATAGAAGAGAACGAGTCAGGCAAGACAGCAGTCCAATTGCCCGCTATATAATCTTCTCACCCTTCACTTTTCACAGTGAAACTTCTTCAGAGGATTAAAAAATTGGTCCCCCCTTTTTTAAGGCATTATTTTGCCTTAACAGTGAAGGCTTAGGATACTTTCATTTGAATAGTATCAATCATTTTGAGCTCGGGCTGCTTTCAGATTGGTCAGAACAGCTTGGGACACACTTAGGCAAGAAAAACCAAAAGTACACCTATAGACTGGGTGAAGCCAGGCTCAATAGCAGTAACTGTGAGAGGGATCTTAGAGTCTTAGTGGACAACCAGCTAAATATGAGCCAGCAGTGTGCAGCAGCAGCCAAAAAAGCTAATGCAATCCTAAGTTGTATTAACAGAGGGATACAGTCAAGATCAAGGGAAGTACTAATACCACTCCATAAAACCTTAGTAAGACCACACCTAGAGTACTGCATCCAGTTTTGTTCACCACATTATAAAAAAGATGTTGAGACTCTAGAAAAAGTACAGAGAAGAGCAACCAGGATGATTAGGGGACTGGAGGCTAAAACATACAACAAACGGTTGCAAGAACTGGGCATGGCTAGTCTAGTGAAGAGAAGGACCAGGGGAGACATGATAGCGGTCTTCCAATATTTGAGGGGCTGCAACAGGGAGGAAGAGGTCAAGCTATTTTCTAAAGCTCCTGTAGGCCAGACAAGGAATAATGGATGGAAACTGAACAAGGAGATATTTAACCTGGAAATAAGGAGAAACTTTCTGACAGTGAAAACAATCAACCAGTGGAACAGCTTGCCCTCAGAAGTTGTGGGAGCACCATCAGTTGAGACTTTCAAGAAGAAATTGGGCTGCCATTTGTCAGAAATGGTGTAGGGTCTCCCGCTTGGGCAGGGGTTGGACTAGATGACCTACAAGGCCCCTTCTAACTCTTGATTATCTGTTATCCGTTAATTTTTCTTCAAGCCCAAGCAAGATGTTTTGAACTCAGATTTTTGGAATTTGAAACTCTTTGAGCACATATCAGCAGTAATCACTCTTACCTGCTTAATGATATGGTTCTGATTTTGTACATAACTCAATTACTCATTCTGAAAAGTCTTTGAGTCAAACTTCAAGCAAAACGATTTTAAGATGTATGAGCAGTGGAAATGTCTTCTTGCTTTATAATAGAGCAGCACTTCAGAATGCTGAACTTTAGTAAGGATGGTTGCAAACGTTTAAATCTAATTGTAGTCATCTTACTATCACCAAACAAATGCTTCCTTTGTTTTGCTGTTCCTAAAGAAACCCCACATGAATGTCACTTTCCTGAAAGAAAGAAAAAACAGCTTTGAGTCTTCTCTTCTTTAGGGCCAAGTTACTCGTGCACAGGAGGCTGAGGAGAATTACATTATCAAGAGGGAACTGGCAGTTGTGAAGCAACAATGCTGCTCTGCTACAGAGAATTTGCAGAAGGCGCGAAGCACCATTCAGCAACTTCAGGACCAACAAGTAACTATAAGAGTGGAAGATACTGGAGTGAAAGGGGATTAATGATGCATGATGAAGGGGGGGGGTACATTAAAGAAATTACGTGCAAGCCCCCAGTTGGTTAAGCCACAGGGTTTTAAAATTCATGTGACCGGTTTTGTGGGGAAAGCCTAGAATGGACAAGTCTAGAGATTACCATTCCCATTGCAATTTGTTAAAATAGGCCATACAAGGCTATATCTTTTACTGGGTTGATTTTGGTAGTTGATTTTTTCTTCTTCTTGAGATCAGCCATGCCAGTGCAGGGCCGCCTTTTGCTCTTTTCCCAGTATTAGATTTAGGGAAGATTCTATCTACACCGATTCTTGCTTGAATATCTACCCTACTTTAGTCTTTTCCCCAACCCGATGCATCTGAATATATCGGATTACAAAACAAACTCCTAACCCAAGCTTTTATGCCCATTAGAGATCTTGTGACTTATTGTATGAAACATCCTAAAGCGCCAAATTGAGGAAGTCCCATCTAGAAAAAGAATTACACCTGGCTATTCCTAATAATCATAACCTATGATTGAAGGCCAAATCGGAGAGTTCTATGCACAAGTCTCCTGAAATGAAAAAAGGAACGACTGAACTGTAATCCACTAGGAAGTCATGGCTTTTATAGAGCAGAGTGATGTTTATCCTCTTTTTCCTATGGACTATAATTTAGTTTGAGGTCAAAGTCATCCTCCCTGCGCTGCTTATTTCTTTCAAAAAGAGCAACTAAAAAAGGGCAAGGGGATAGTTTTGTTTAGAAGAACGGCTTTCACGAAAAGCCTTCAGCATCTCTTTCCTTTGCTCTCCTTATTGACATTTCTTTAAAATAACCAATTCAAAGAAGGTATAAGTTGCCTACCTTACAACTTATGCATTTATGGATTCTAGTTGTACAAATTAGAGTTAATGGATTACAATAAATACTATAGGAACATTAGAGAGAGCACTCATTCATTCATGATTTCCATTGATTTACTAACATTTCTTTTACTCTGTAGGGAAATCCCCGCTACTCTGAGGAATTTGTGAGCCACCTGGAAACAGAACTGGAGCAATCGCGCTTGAGGGAATCTGAAACTCTGAGTGCTCTTAAAGAGATGCAGGATAAAGTTCTGGACATGGAAAAGGTATCTTTTCTTTCAAAGACTGATACAGAAGCACACAAGTGTTAATAAAGTAACCACGGCAGCATCCCAGATAGCAATATTTGAATTAGCTAAAGTTTAAGAATAGATGCTTTGATAGAGTCTTCTCTGCATTATGAATTTTGGTAAAGATTACAACAAAATGTATTCATTCCAACAAATGAAAATTCGAGGATTGCTTTTTCCTTCCTCGTTGTTCTGTTAAGAGTATCCCCTTTTATTCTTTGTGGTAACATATTTACCTGTAACAAATAAGAATTTTTGAAGGCATGTATAATGATGTTGTACTCAGGAGAATGAGGAAAGATCAACAGTCTTTTTTAATATATATAAATTATCGGCTATATTCATCTCAGGATTTTGTGTTGGGAAGGCAAACAAGGACCACCTCTGGGTGCAGATCTGACATCACAGGTACTAGGTGCCTAGAAGCATCTTCCAACCATTCCATGCTACTGGACAGTTCTTGGGTCCAAAGCAGCGACACCGCAGGGAGAAAATATGAGGGAAGGAGGGCGGACTTGCTTGAGGTGTCAAGAGTTGCATAGGCAGACCTAACGGGCTAAAGGTTCTTCTATCTGTGTTGTGGCAAACCTAAAGAGGTATATAGTGCTAATATTTAAGTCATCTCCTTTCCAGAAAAACAGCTTGCTTCCAGATGAAAACAATGTGGCCCGGCTACAGGAAGAACTGAAAGCTATGAAGTTGCGGGAGTCTGAGGCAATGAAATCCTTCAGAGAGCTGCAACAGCAAGTGAAGGAGCTCAATGACAATTGGCAGGTAGGCTATAGTTGGAGGATGCTATACCTGACAACACCTCACTTGTTAGGACTTGTTGCCCAGGTTCATTATTTTAATGGAAATCTTTGTATAGAAGGCTATCAGTTATTATCAAACGAGCTAATAAAGAAGCACTTTTTGGGTTGCAGATGTTTGAATAACCACTAAATGGCAATAAGTGACTAGAAATTCTTGTATCTCCTTGCTACCATCTACTGGTCGTCAGGATTTTGTAGCCTAGATTTGGAAGCTCCAGGAGCTTAATAAAATCCGATTTGATGCATAAATCACTTTAAGGAACAAGATCCTAAATGTTTGATAAAGTAGCAATGTGTTTATGGTTACCGGTGAGAGAACCTGGTATAGCACATACTTTTTATGTAGACTATACATTTATGTAGCAATTTCTTCATACAAGATTGAAGAGGTGTCTCTGAGATCTTGGAGGCAAACAGCTTGTTACTGTACTTGGTGGATCAACAGATATTAAGCATGTGATGAGGAAATGGTACCTTGGTAACCCTAGATCCAATATACCTGTGCCTACATTTGCAAATCATTGTTTGGATCCCTTTACTTTAGGTTCATCTGAGCCGGACCGGAGGGCGGTGGAAGGACTCTCCACGAAAGAATACAATAAATGATCTCCAAGATGAACTGATGAACCTCCGTCTGCGTGAGACACAGGCTCAGGGCGAGGTCCGGGAGTTGCATCAAAGAGTGGTAGAGCTTGAAACCCAGGTGAGGGTGTGACAATTGTGGTAGTTCTCCTCTCCATTAAGAGTATTTCTACGTCCAGACAGTTATGACTGGACTTTCTAAGAACTTTCTATCTGTAATTTCTTTCTTTCCTAACTCAGATATATATACAGTAGCAATCCTTCCTTTTTTTTAAACATGCAATTTTATATTGATTGTGGAAGTGCAAAGTTTTCATGCATAAGGAATTATCTACGTCTGTCTACACGAGTGTGCACACACATTGGGCAACAAAATGCAATAATGTAGTTATTTATTTGAGTTTTATTGCTTTATAAGTAACTCAAGGCAGCAAACATACAAAATATTCCTTTCTCCTCCTATTTTCCCAACAGCAGTAACCCTGTGAGGGTGGGGGGGTTGGACTGAGAGAGAGTGCCCATCCAGCTTTCATGCCTATGTGGGAACTAGAACTCATGCTTTCCTAGTTTCTAGGCCAGCCCCACTACATCAAACTGGCTGAGTATCAGTGGCCCCTAATTCTTCTTTTCTAGGATCAGATTCACAGCAACCTCCTCAATCGGATGGAACAGGAGTGTTCTGGGCTGCACGAAAAGGTGCAGTACTTCACAGCCCAAAACAAAGGGTTGCAGACGCAGTTGAGCGAGACCAAACGCAAGCATGCTGAATCTGAGTGCAAGGTGAGTTTGCCCATTCAACAGTACCAAGGCATGTGACCCGGGGTGGAATTCTACTGTTTCACACCGGTTCGGCAGAACCAGTTATGATTCCCAGTAGTTAGGAGAACTGGTAAAATGGGCCCTTGGCTGGCCCCATCCCTCTCTTCCCACTCCTCCGTTCCCTGCCTAGTCAATACTTAGTGTGCATGCGCGACATTGCGCTCATGCACACCGATCACTGACAGCATTCTTCCCAGCCTGCCCACCCAGTCATTTCTTATAGCTCATGTGCGCTACATTGCTTCCCACATTTTTCTGCCCACCGCCATTGCTTCCAGTAGCAGTAACAGCCAGCCAGCCAGCCTTCCACCACCTGATCTCCCTAGGTGAGTGAGGCTCTGCAAGCCCCGGTAGCCTACATGCCACTGCTGCTATCAACCCCAGTTGAGTCCTGAGTCCTGGGCCAACCTAGGCCACCACGCCGCCACCACCCTCACCCTTTCTGCTACCACCACCACACTCCCCGGCTAAGTCCTGACTCCTGGGCCAGCCTAGGTCCCCACCACCATGCCGCCACCACCCTCAGTGCTCGCATCCTAGCAAGCTCCCCACCCCCACCCCCAACTTGCCTGGCTTGCTTAACCACCAGCACTGCGGCTCCATGCGGCACTCATGGCCTAGCAACTTCCCACCCCCTGGCTTGCTTAGCCATCAGTGCTGCGGCTCCATGTGGCACTCGTGTCTAGCCGGTTTCCCCCACCACTCCACTTGTCTGGTTTACTGGTAGCTGAGAGGAAGGTGAACCAGGGCTGACCCGTCACTGCTTGGGTCTCGCCTGGATTCTCCGCAGCTGCTGGGCCTCGCCTACTAGGAGCGGAGGTGGGGGGTGGGCAGCCAGGAAGCACGATGCTGTGCTGCCTGGGCCTGCATAGCCTGGATGGCAAAGCATCAGGGAAGGCAAGCCAGGGCTGAGAGCTTCTGGGCTCTCCACCAGCCCGCACCTCCACTCTGGCACAGTAGACAATGAAATGCACCCTGGTGCGAAGAACAGGGCGGCAAGCTCCAGCTGCTGCTGCTTTGCCAGCCAGAACCAAGGCAGTAGCCCATGCTCCGTCTCCTCACAGAAGATCCCAGCCTCACATGTGCACATGTGAGGCCGGGACCTTCTGCGAGGAGACGGCAGGTGGGCGAGTCCTTCTGGCACCATGAGATACATTGCTCTGTGTATGCCTGAGAAGGAGAAGACTTGGGTGGACTTTGCTCCGCTGCTGCTCGGAAGGCAGCTGCCCCAGCCGTCCCAACTTTACGGTACTTCGATGCGGAGGGAGGGACCAAAAAAGGACAGGCAGGGGCTACCTTCCAAGTCTCACAGTGTCCCCATCCCCCTGCCAAGAAGCCTCCAACCGCCACCTCTTTATTGGCAGGAGAATCCTCCAGCTTGGCTCGGTTCTGGCCAGCAAAGAAGTAGCAAAAAGACATGGCATCTGGAGGCTTCTTGCAGTGAAAATTACCAACCTCCAGCTTTGCTTGCTCTGCTTCTCCAATGCTGGGCAAGTCCCTCTGGTGCAGTGGGCTCAATGGGGTGAACCTGCATGGTTGACGCCTAGACGTGGTAATTGGTAATTTTCACTGCAAAAAGCCTCCAGACGCTGCATCTTTTTTTCGGTGTGGCTGGAGTCCAGCTGCCCTGAAAAAAACCACGTGGCGGCTGCAGGCATTTGTGACAAAGGGCGACATGGGCTGGCGGGGAGCCCAACAGCAACAATGGCTCAGCCCTGGCTTGCCTTCCCTGGCAGCCAGCCGCGGGAGGAAGGTAAAGTCACGGCCGTGGGATGACGGGAAAGAGGTGTTCATGTGGGAGGAAATGGGGAGATTAAGGGCCGGGGCCTCTGAAAGGGGAAATGGGATGACGCGTGTGACTGGTGAAGGGAGAGCGGGCAGCATGCAGGATTAGCCCAGGCCTTTGTTAGATTAGGCCATGCCTGCCTAGGCAGAAAATAGGTAGATAGGTTGGGGAAGGGATAGAGAGGCAAAGAGAGAGAGAAAGAGAGAGAGAGAAGGAACAGGCAATAAAGTAAAGAAAGGAAAGGGAAACAAAGAAAAATGGAGAGAGAAAGGAAGAGAAAGGAAGAAAAGGGATAGACCAAGAAAGGGGGGATAGAAGGAAGGGACAGAAAGAAAGAGAGAGAAGGAAAGAGAGAGAAAGAAAGAAGGAGGGAGGAGAATGTGAATGGGATATGGACGGAGGGAGAGAGAGAGAAAGAGAGAGAAGGAAGAGACAAAGAAAAGAAAGATAAGGGAAAGAAAGAAAAAGAGAGAGAAAAGGAAAAAAGGGACAAAGAAAGAGGAGGGATGGAAGGGATACAAAGAGAGAAGGAAAAGAGAAAAGGAAGGAAGGAAGGAAGGAAGGAAAGAAAGAAAGAAAGAAAGAGAAAGAAAGAAAGAAAGAAAGAAAGAAAGAAAGAAAGAAAGAAAGAAAGAAAGAAAGAAAG